TGTCCTGGGGTTGGATACCTGGGACATGAGGGCAGTCTGGCTGGGCTGTAAGATTGCAATTTATGTGTCTGCCGTATATCACGTTGGATTTCAAATGCCATTTATCAAGGATGGCTTCATTTTCCTTAAACATGAACCCTGCTTTCTCTTCTTTCTTACCTCCTTTATTTTACATCTTGTAACTCCTCCAGTAGTGGAATTAGGGGTATTATAGTCTCAGTATCAGTGGAGAGTTTGCTTTGTCCTATAAGATGGCTATCCTCAGCACCAGGACAGGATGTCTGCACTGCTGTAAAGCTGATGGTTTGGAGATGATCAATGAGAAAATGATGTGCCCATGAGAAATGCACAATTCATAGCAAAACCAGTGATCAAAAACTCCCCCAAATTTTCACTATCCTTTTATTATAGATAAGCAACAGTTTTTCTTTGTCCCTGCAACCTTCAAATCCCCAAGTATTCTTTTTTCAAATATCTCTGAGTCAGGGCCTGGAACTCCAACCAAAGGAGTAGCAAATGAAATTGAGAAGTTAATGATGAGTACTTGTATCAAGTAAGCAATAAAAATAATGTTCCACAATCCATGGTTTTCAGTAGCATTTCGTAGCTGGGAGGAGGAGGATGAAACTGCAGCACTAGCATTTGAAACTATTTTTAAAGAGGTAATCAACGTGGAATCATAGAATGGTTTGGGTGGGAAGGGACCTTTAAGGTGATGTAGTTACTGCCTGCTATAGACAGACACAGCTCCCTCTAGACCAGGCTGCTCACAGCCCCATCCAGCCTGACCTGGAATGCCTCCAGGGTGGGGACATTCACAGCCTCTGTTTCAGTGTCTCACCACCTTCACAGTAAAGAATTTCTTGCTAACATCTAGTCTAGATCTACCTTCTTCCAGTTTAAAGCCATTTATTTCATAGGAAAATTCTATTTTTTGAAGCACATGTGCATAGGAAAGTTCTATTTTTTTTAAGCATATGTAGTGAGAATAAGTAGAGTAGAGTTCCATGTGTAGTTATTTCTTATTACTTATTTGCAATTAGAAGAGGGGTTTTTCACCTTATACATATGCAGGATCTTGTCCTGAGAACCACCAGAACCAGAGTTCAGCTGTGTCTGGCTGGGTTCCTCCAAGATCGCCAAGTGAACCCTTCTTGTCAATGGAAACCACACAAGGGTGCAGGTTCATCCCAAATTATTGCAGTCTGTTCTTCTGTTTTACAAGGCACAAGTGACAATTCTTTCAAAGCAAGCAAGGAAATGTCCCATTAGTCTGTCTTGTTTCTCTTCTTTACCTGACTGTGTTGGTCCCAGAAGCTTTCAGTAGCATTGAAATTTATGGCCTAAGAGATTCCATGTAACACTTGAAGGTATAATTGTGTTCAGCTCGATTGATCCTGCATGCCAATTAGTAGTGCAGCCAGTTTGCAAGATAACAGAGATCTTTGTGAATGCCTGTAAGAATTCGTCTTCTCTCCCACTTTCACATGTGGTGGCAGTCAGCTGAAGGTTCCTATTTTGCAGTGATCTGTTGAGCAACTGTCACAAGCAAATGCTCACGTTTAGCCGCATTCCTCAGGGACCGATTTGCCAGAACTTGCCAATACATTTTGATTTCCCTGCTGATCAAGGAGGAATGGAGGAGAGAAGAGGCAGCCCAACCCAGAGCAACATCTGCTGCAGAGTAAATTACATCCCCACTTGGCCTCACTGTTTGAGCTGTTTATCCTGTGTTAGGTTAAGCCATGTCATTTTTGCCTTTCGTGCTGATCGTGCTGCATAGAAACTAAAAGTAAATCAAGAGACCAGACTTATCATTTCTATCTCAGGTTTGGTACTGGATTTGAACATTTTCAGTTCTGGACTGTGGTCAGAAGCAGGGCACGTGAGGTCCTCAAGGAGTTGTTTGTTTCTCCTTTCAATTTAGAGCCCGAAATACCATTTGTTTAATGTTGCTGTTTAAATAATGATTTGTAAGGCTCTAAGCCAGCCATGGTACAGCTTAATGACTACTGTAATTTATGGATGCCCCTGACTACATACATAAACATTGCTGTAAATATAAAGGATGTCTCCCACAAATTTTCCTATGATACTCATTTGATACAGTTCATTTTCCTCTCCTTGAACATCTTCTGTATATGAGTTGAGACCTCCTGATGTAGTGATGAAGGTTCTTCTGGCTCCACTGGCCAGAAGTAATGGGGGCAGGGAAATGAAAAATCAGATCAAATGTCTGTTACAAAATATTTTAATTGAAAATCAAGTTTCCTTGAACTCGGACACAGACACCTCTATACTGTGGCCTAGTAAAAGGATCACTTGTATTTGGGCTTTTTTTGATCAGCTGTTTGTCTTACGTCTTAATCTTCAGTTCATTTTGCTTTTGTGTACTTTGTAAGGAAGTAAATGGGAGACAAAAAAATATCATGCACTGTCACAGAGCTCAGCCATTCCTTCAGCTGCAGCTTTGCTATTTGTGATCTCTATGCTACACCAGGAGCATGTATATGTGCATCTAATGCAAATTCAAGCCAATTCAAGTGCCATCTCTGCAGAGATGAATAAGCATGCAAATCTGCTGTTTTGTTTTGGAGGACAATCTCCTGGAATTGCTTAATGTCTAGTTGTAACTGATGGCTTTTAATATCGCAGTCAGTTGACTTCAAGAGACTTGTAATTTTGGGATCTGCAACAAAGACATCTGGGAAGATAGTAGGTGCTCTTGAATGCCTTGGTTCCATTAAAATTAGTGTTAATGCACTTGTGCTTGGAAAACTGAGTGCCTTTACAAAGTTGTAATGAATTGGATGAACAGAAAACTCCATTGCTTGCAACAGCCTCTACTCTGAATGTCTGCATGTGACCTCGAAATGCAAGAATTTCTGGGCTAAAACATAGACAATGTTGAAAGGGTTGCAGATAAGCCAAATGGGATATGAGAACTGGTAATAAATGTGGGAGTTTCTTTAAAAGCATACATGGGGTAATTCAAAGACAAAAATACTTCTGAATTTAACTAGGACTTCAACATTTTTAAGAACATCCTGATATTTCTAACCTTACGGAAGTTCTCTGCTTAAGTTTTCATTACTTGGTACTTGAAGCAACATGGTGCTCCATGGGTTTGGTGCATACCCCATGGCGGAAGGATCCTCTACTAAGGTTCCTGGAGCCACTTCTTACAGCTTTGTGGGCATCTATTTGCACACTGAGACTGGTTTGAGGCAAGCAAAGAACTTTGCTTCTAACATAGTAAAGTCTTTTGACAGTGTCTCGAAGAATGCATTTTTGCAAAGAGCATTGCAAGGGCAAGGAGGGTATCTTCTCTTTGCCATTAAAGCTTTATAAAGGGACCCAAAGAAACCGTCAGCAACCAGCTGAGTTGTGTTGGTCTTTTTTGTCTTTTTTTTCTCTGCTAAGCTCTCCTCTGTAGTCATGCCTTGACCCTGACTGAAATACGAGGGCACTGTGCAGCTTGAATGCAGCAAAGCCAGAATGACTCTAAGGCAGTCCAAAAAATTGAGCTGACAGTAACGCAGATCACCCTTTTCAGGAGTCTGGGTCCTTTATTAAAAAGGTTTGACATGTATTCCCCCCACTCCTGAATTGATTTGCACCATAAAATAAGCTTGAAGAGAAGTAGTGGTTGTTTTCCTACATGCTTCATTAATTTTAATTTTGGCAGGCAATATAAATAAAAGTATCAAGTGCAGATCTAATTGAATCACCAATGATTCCCAGCTCCCTGTAGTACCAGAGAACATGATGTAGCTGCTCTGTTTAGCAAGCATGGATGAGTTAGGCAAACAATGGCTCATTCTGCCCAGAGGCTTTGGTTTAATCTTTAGTACTTACCCATTTAATATGAGACAGGGCAGGAGTTTTTGCAGTGGGGGATTCACAGCAGAGACCTCTTTATCCTTACAGACTCATCTGTGCAAACAGTTAGGAAGGTTTCAGTGCATTGGGTCTACACCCAGATTTTTGTGGAATGGATTCTGGTACTTAGCAAGCTTGGCCTCCTCAATACATACTGGCTGAAGGCTGTTTCTGAGCTAATTCCTACTTTCCATGTGTAACTGACCATTAAAATTAAGTAGTCTAATCAGTCCTGGCCCCATGTAGTTTAGCCATAATGAAAGGATTCAGATTGAGAGAAGTCTTACTTCACTTGTCACGCTGAATGGTCTCTGACTACTCAACTGACAAGGAAATCCAGTGCCTCCTGAAAAGGGCTGTGCCAAGAGACAACTTCTCCAGATCATTTCTGAATGGGCGGTATGAACTTCTAATAGTATTTTTCAGTGGCATGTCACAACCATTGGCTCTTTTCCATGCTGCTAGCTGCCTTTTGCTGCTGGGCATAGGGAAAATGAATTGGTGATCTTTGTATCTTAATAGATGTAGACTGCAGCAGGACTCCATGATTCATGGACACAGGAGTACAGAAGCAGAAGGGGATCTAGAAGAGAAAGAAAACTACCAAGAGAGGTCAAACTGTTTTTTTTCTTGCAGAAGGGATATGAGGATATGATACACCCAAGTCATAGGTAATACATGTTGACAGGACAGTGTGATAAAAGCTTATGTTCTTTCCAGGCAGTGTAGACATCATTCCTGAACTAGAGAGAGAGCATGTCAGTCTTCAGGACCATCAGTCTAGCAGCAATTTGCACACAATCCATCATGCATATCATGTTGTTCTTGATAAGTAATACAGAGCAGATCGTAGGATTTCAACCCTGTTTTCGAGGTTCAAAGCTGCCTTCCAAGTTAAAATGATAGACATGCCTGGGAACCTTAGTTCTGTATTAGGTGAACTATTTGGTATTTGGAAAGATCTGGACAAACAAAACAAAACCACTACTTTATCAGGTAACTCTTGGGCTGAGGGATTTTATAACATCTTTCTCCCCTTCACTGTTATCCATAGCCATGTTGGATGGGGAAAAGATAGTTCAGTAACCCGAAGTGGCTTTTATTTTCTTTCTCTCTAGGAGCTGCTTCTGTCTCAAAAATGGCTCTGGAAGGCTCCTTCAGCTGCTGGAATGGCACATCAATCAGGCTGGGCCAGGCGTGTGACTTCATCAGAGACTGCACTGAAGGAGAAGATGAGGGAGCAATGTGCAGTGAGTAACCAGAACCCCAGACTGTCCTCCTTTTCCTTCTGGGAGATGGAAGCTGAGCAGCCCCTTTTAAAAGCATAAATTATTTTGATTTTTAATGCCTGAGACTTCAGTAGTAATTAATTCAGTACTGTCAAAAGATCAGCGTCCTCCATTAGACATGCACTTTCTCTGGGTATCAGCATAGAGTGGACCACTTGATATGTTTCTGTACTTGCCTTCTTTAGTTCTGCAGCAGGTTTTCAAGCTGTTCTTACTGCCTCATCTATCAAAATCGTGATCAAAAATGCAAAGAGAGTATAGCTTAAATACTAGATGCTTTACAGAATTATGAAATGTGTGGTTTGTTAGTGCTTTTAATCAAAACATGGCACAGCATTTGGCAGAAGGTGGAAGGAGTGGAATTCTAATATATGAAAAGTGAGTGGAGCCAGAAGCTTGTCTTAGACCAACTCCGACTATTGTGTCTTTGTTAATTACTCTCATTTTCTATCCTTTCTTCAGTTCTTGATCTTTGTCAGTCTATAGATCAGGAGTTAGATAGCAATTTGAGTTTTCTGGAAACTTTACATGCCTGAATATTTCTGTAATTGTGTTACTTTAGATATTTTATAGCATTTCTTCAACAGTCTTCAATATATGTTGTCTTTTTTTTATATATATACTTTTATCTTTTCTGTCTCTATTGTATTTCCCTTTGTCAGTCTACAAATACTGAGAAGTGGTGTTTTGTTGTATTTGCCAATAGATCTAGCCTATGGACTCCTACTGACAGGACTGGTTTAGTATGCAAAATTGCATTCTCTGGCCAAAATACCTGTACTGCCAAAAGCCTTTGGAATACAACAGACAATTACTCTCAGTTTAGTTTTAATGCGTGACATTGAGAGCAGGGGTCAACCTTGGTGAAGTAACTCAAACAAAGTGTGGGTATGGGGGACATCTAGACTGAAAGACCTTTTAGCATAAACTTAACATGGCACTGATTCACAACTCCTAGCAAATTTCACACTTCAGTTCTTGCTGCTAACAAAGAAATAAAGTAACGGATAGTTTTGGTGTGGAGAACAGTGGTTTGGCCTGGGACCACCTAGGAAATTAGTCAAAATCTAGAAGTGATAGGCCCCTACTTTGTGTCATGAATTGTTATAATTTGAAATATTTGTTACTGACACATGCTGAGTTAGTATTAAATTCACTCCCATAGGAATAGTGACATTGCTACTGACCTGTAGCAGCTTAGAACCAAGAATGCTTCATATTACTGGTATAAAAACCTTCCTTTCACCTAAGAGCTTTAAAACAGAGCTCTAGAACAGGATTACAGAATGGTTAGGGTTAGAAGAGACTTCTGCATCCCTTTAATCCAACCCCTGCTTAAGCAGGGCCACCCAGAGCTGGTTGCCCCAATCCCCATCCATGCAGCTTTTGAATAATGAAATTCCACGTCTATGAGTAACGTGTGCCAGTGTTCCATCACCTGCACAGCACAGAAGTGCTTTCTGATGTTTATATAGAACTTCCTGTGTTCCAACTTGTCCTCACTACCTCTTGTCCCAGCACAGCCTGTCTCCTTCTCTGCAGCCTCCTTTCAGGGTTTTATAGACATTGATAAGATCCTCCCTTAACCTTTTCTTCTCCAGACTGAACAGCCCCAACTTTCTCAGCCTCTCCTTGCAGGAGAGGTGATCCAGCCCTTTAATCATTTTGATACTCAGATCTGCTAATGATGTTTCTATTTTCTACACTTAAATTGAACATCCTTACAAAATTACGATAGTCATGGAATTATAAAATGGGTTAAACTGAAGGAGACCTTGAAGATCATCTAGTTCCAATGAGTAATGGGTAGGTATAATACATTTTCATGTCACTGCAAGCACAGAGGCATATTACTTACTCTTATTTAACGTGGATTGGTTATATGTCCAGATAGACTGTTATATTCTTAAATGGATCTGCCTTGTGAGAGTAATCCTATCTATATCAGTGGGAACAGTAGAGCTCCTTCTGTGGAGCTGTGCTAGTCATGGATGCAGACTAAAAACCATCATAGCATAGGGCAGACCTAAAGGAACGTGACTCTACTTCTGCTATTCATGAGGATTTGTTCAGCTGCCTTTTAGCCAGCATTTATCCATAGCTATTAGCATAAAGCAGTGTAGCACATTTATGTCAACATAAAAATTTTTCAAAATTTTTAGATTTACTGAAAATACAGAAAAGGTAAGAAGGGGAAGATATGTAATCACCTATTTAGTAGAAGAGTTCCCAGCTTGAGAAGACCTCACAGCTTGTTTTCAACCCCTGGTGCTGGCAGTGGGACACATTGCTCCCAGTCAAAAGGCCAAAAAGACACCATTTTCTACTACAAGCAACAAAAAAGAGAGGCTTGCAAGAGCTTGGGTTGTGCTCACACACTTAAAACCTTAGTTTTGTTGCTGATTGCTCTGCTTCTGTCTGTTTGTTGTGTTGAATGTAATCATAGAATTCCAGGAATTGGAAGGGACCTGGAAAGATCATCTAGTCCAATCCCCTTACCAGGACAGGAACACCTAAGTTTCATTGGCATAAAACTTACACAAAAAAAGAAAAATGATCAAAATCTTGTTGTTTTAGTCCTGAGTAATGTGGATATTTTCATCAGCTTTCTGCAGGTGTGGCAAGAAGTGATTCTGAAATATAGAGCAGGGAAAGGGATTTCTTGAGAACTTCTGATTACAAGAAAGAGCTGTCAGAAAAATGTGTAGCCATGCATGCGGCTGGAAAGGGAGCTTTTCAAGTTATCTTTAAACAAAGGCTGCCAACTTTGAGCTTCAAAATTGTTCTTAGTTTGTTTTTTCTTTTTCCTTTCACAGTCCTTTAGGTGCTTGGAATAATTCTTTTTTTCCTTTTCCTCTTTTTTTTTTTTTTTTCTTGTCATCATTTGATTTTTATTCCTTTCTTAACTGGAAAAAGCTCCCTAAACCTGCTATTTGTTAACATCCCTTTAATTATCAGTGGCCAATGAAAAGTCACGGTGCTTGTTCTGCAAGCAACCAATTAGTCTTTGTAGAAAGCATAAAATCAGACAGGGATGACCCCTGGAGAAAAGCATGTTGCTGTGTTGCTGTTTGAGTCATAATCAAATAAGCTCGCAGGGGGAAAAGACAGCTTCAAAGAGGCAGATGTAGAGATAGATGCTGAACCATGTTGATTTGGGATCAGAGTTACAGATCTAACAGACTGATAGAAATGCCCCTCTGGAGATTATTTTGCAGAAGCATACTTTGCAGATGTATGTTAAGACTTCAGATAATGGTGGCCTTATGTCTTTGCTAGTAAATTCCTGATTATGAATTGTAACTTACTGAAAAAAAAGAAGAAAAAAAAAAACAACAGAGAAATTCTTTACTAATACAGATTGGCAGAGCTCTTCCTCTACAAAGGAGGAGAATTTGTTTTAGTAGTTTTGTGCTTCTCTTATTAGGTAACAGTATCTTGGATTTTTGTTCAAGGATCTTTTGTTGAGGGCAGCAAGCCTAGAGAAGAAAAGTTTCACTGAAACAGAAGTGCATACACTTTTGTTTAGTCTAAAACTATCATAGAATCATAAAGGTTGGAAAAGACCTCCAAGGTCATCCAGTCCAACTGTCTACCCACCACCAGTATTTCCCCACTAAACTGAGTCCCTTGAATGCCTTTAGGGCCAGTGACTTTGTTAGCTTCTGGGTCAGGTTCACCAGAAGCATTCAGCCTGGGAAAATATTGGTTGATCAAGCAGAGCATGTAGGAAATGTGTGGATGTATTTTAAAAAAGTATATAGTAAAAATGAAAGTGTTGGTAGTACGTTTATTATCTGGAGACCCAGAACTTAGAGGAGTCACTCAAGATGTGACAAACCCAGGACTGATTCTTTCTTCTGTCTGAATGAATTTGAACCCGTATTTCTGATTTCCTTTGAAAGTTTCCAAAGCAGTGTGGTCTGGAATATACAGTTTGGAAGAGAAAGCATTATTCAGTCTCTCCTGGTATTGCTCCTTCACAGTATATAAACATTACCTGCAAGAAAGATTGAGAGTAATATTCTCTGCCTTGCACATGAATTGCATAACCACTGGGTTATAGAGTAATTTTCACTCTTTGCCTCACTGAATATTTAAGAATGTTAAACAAATTGGATTAATGCTAGCAGATGAGGTAAGAAAGACTAGTATCTGGTTCACAATAGGAGTGACTCAAACTGTTCTGTATGGTCAGATAAGTGCATACACACAGCTGTCAAAAATCAGATGACAAGTAGAATAGGAACCTGTGAAGTTTGAATTTGAGATAGCACAAGCAATTGGAGAAAAAAAAAAAAAAAAAAGTACAGATAAATAATTCTAGAGGAGCCAGTTCACTTTCCAGGCAGAAAAGGAAACAACAGTGGATTCATAGATGTCTTATTGATAGATGCAGAATCCCCCAGCAGCAAACCAAATGAAAAAACAGCCTGTTGCATTGCAGTCCTCCTAAGGTTCCTGTCTTGAATACTCACATTCTTTTGTTCCTTTCTTGATCAAAAGCTGCAACTCTAGCAGTGAATTTTAATTTCTGGCAGTTCTCAACGTAGCAATGCTTTCCATCATTAAAGGAAAACTCTTGTTGACTGTATTGAAATGTATTTTCCCTTTCTCTTCTTCATTTCCGATAGAATACAGTAGACAACTTTGGTAGCACAGAGACAGCCATTGAAAACAAGCTCACATTTAAGATTCATGTGCTTCTTTGAACTTTTTGAGTAGATGCCTTCTGAGATTTTCTCCTACATTTGGGAAAGGTCTGTACAAAACATGAGTAATCTTTTATGTTTTTGTCCTCTATAATACAGGTCTGGAACTTCACTCAAAACTTTAAACTTATTGATTTGCACCTGGTTTTGAGTCAACAGCCAGCCATTAATGAACATGTTCCATCTGCTTCATAAATTATTCCAGTTGCTAGTTTGGCTTTCTGCTGTTAAAGAATGAAAAAAAAAATGAAGTAAAGGTTGTTGTTGGTGGTTTTGTTTTTTTAAGACAAAGCCACTTGAGTTTAATAACCTCTCAGGCAAAATCATTCAGAAGGCTTGAAGATACTTGGTTAAAAAAACTGTTTAACACCCTTCAGCATCTCTGTTTCTCAAAGAAATGCTGAGACTTGCATTCTCACAGTACTTTAGTTTTGATTGGATTACTTTATTCCCTGTCCCAAATCCATAAGCTGCCTCTTGATTTTAGGGAGTTCTAAACCTTTTGAAGTTTCTTTCACCAGTGATAATACACAACATGACCTACTGTTTCAGTAGGCATAATGACTGCTCCATTTTACTTGTTTTCACAATAAAATCAGGTTAGCTTTCCTTCATTAGTGCAGTGTGAACACTAATGCAAGTTAGAATTATAAGCATTCAGACACTGAGAAGTAGATGCTGACAGAGGAGTGCTGGCCAAAGTGCACTTTGTGAAGCAGCTATACGTACAGCACTTACAATTCCGTGTATTTGAAGTAAGAAAGAGCAGCAAAGAACATTGCACTGGTGCACAAGACATCTGAAAATTCATGAAAGATTAATCTGTGGAGAAGCAATCAAATTTCTGGGGAAGTAATAGCTTCTTATTTATATCCTTACTTGTTCATCTACAGTGAGCTTTTTCTGGCTTCCAGGCAGGGATTACTACTTAGACTCCTCCTGCTGCTCTGACTTCTTTACATCAACCTAGATAACGTAGGGCCGTGAAATGAATTCAGCTGGACACCAAGCCAAGCTGTTTCAGTAGGAATTCAGGACACATCATAATTTGTCATTTTCTTTGGATCTCAGCCTCAGGCAGCACAATGCAATATAATCAAATTCTGTAGTGGGGTAAAGCACAGGGAAGCAACTTTCAGCTTAACAGCTCCACATTTAAGGACTAGGCTGAATGAATTGGGAGATGTTTTTTTAAAGGAGAGACTTGTAAAAACCTCAACTTTCAGTTTTTGATCTTTTCATAACAAATTTGGATGACTGAGGGAAACAAAAGCAGTAAAATATACCTCTTACCTGTATGTCAGGTTCTGGGTTCAAATTTGGACCTACTAAAAAGCCATAGATGAAAGATTTGTTTCAGTCACCTCTGTGAAGCGAGTTGTGATTCAGGATCTTAGATGTATTCCTGTCGAGACAATGCAGTTCTGTTCCCCAGCAATTTTCTCAGGGTAGACCAGGAGGAAAATGAATGCGTCACTGACAGTGAATTTCCTATTGAGGTATGTACTTGCAGTCCACAAAGCTGATTGTATCCTGGGCTGCATCAAAAGAAGTGCAGAAAGTTGGGGGATATGTTTCTCCTTCAACTCTGCTCCCATGAGAACACACCTGCAGTGCTATGTTCAGCTCTGGAGCTCCCAGCACAAGAAGGATGCAGAGCTGTTGGAGCAGGTCCACAGGAGGCTGCAAAGGTGCTCAGAGCGCTGGAGCATCTCTGCTATGTAGACATGCTGAGAGAGCTGGGCTTGTTCAGCCTAGAGAAGGGAGAGCTCTCGGAAGACCACATTGTGACTTTCCAATACTTAGAAGGGACTAACAAGAAAGGTGGGGAGGGATTTTTAATGAGGGAATGTAGAGGCAGGACAAGAGATAATCTTTACTCAGAGGGTGTTGAGGACTGGCACTGCTGCCCAGAGCTGTGGTGCCCCATCCCTGGAGGTGCCCAAGGCCAGGTTGGATGGGCTCTGGTAAACTCCGAGCTGGTGGGGGGCAGCCCTGCCTATGGCAGGAGTTGGGGCTGGGTGGGCTTTAGAGTCCCTTCCAGCCCAAATCATTCTGTGATTCTGTGTGTAAATGAGAGCTGAAGCCCTGTGAAGAGATGTTTGATTGACCTGCAGTCTCAGACAGGGAATTCTGATCATATTTCAACATTTTAATCAGGTTATAAACATTATCTGGGGTGTGGATACTGATTCCCGCTTTATAGACAGAAAGCTTTAGAGGGAAAGATTCTTCACATTCATGAGTTCAGGAGCCTCTTCTTCTCATAGGGAAGTTAATGAAATTCCTGGTATCACCTCACCAGCAGATTCTCTTGCTTTAGGAGCTTGTAGTTTATCCTACTTTTTGTAAGTCAAGAATTTTTTACTCTGACTTTGACAAACAGTTGAAAGGAAAAACTAATTTCCCGGATATGTGGTTTTATAATGTGTTTACACATTAAATTTGTTTTTATCTGGCAATTTCAAACAGACTTCTGGTCTCGTTTTCTTTCCTTTCAAAAATAAAAAAAATTAAAAAACAACAAAGACAGTTTTAGGGGATCTTTAGGGGCAGAGGGAAGGAGAAATAAATATAGGCTAAACTGCTAGCACAGATATGAGTACATAACTGTAAAAGCTGTGAGAAGTCAGGAATATCATCGTCCCTTTTATAGCTACATCTGAACATCCTAGCAGTTTTTCTACCTTACTGGAAGAAAGAACAGACCCACTGAGCACCTGTGTTCAGGGGCTTTATACTGCCACACCCTAGGACTGGTTTGTCTATATTGAAGGATAAAAGCAGTCATCGCTCTTCTTTATGTCTGTTCTGGCATCTTTGGTGTGTAATGGAACTCCATATTTAATGTGCACCTTTTTTTTTCCCAGGCTAGCTTTTCCCATAAAAGAAGTTTGTGCCCTTTTTACTGCTGGGAAGCTTCCCCATACCTGGCATTGTTGTCAGCTACCTCCTGGGCACAAAATCTGTATTATAGATGATGAGTTATTCACTGAAAGTGAAGATCATGTTATAATGCAGGTGATTTTTACATGACATTTTACAAGGCTCGTTTTCTCTGAGGTTACTTAATAAGGTCAGAATCTGCCATTGTGCTGAAGAAGAGAAATGCAAAGGTAGAACCTATCATCAGTAGAAATTAGGCAATGTGTTTTTATTAAAGATGATGGGAAATGTGATTTTATAAATTTTCAAATTGAGTGAATTGTGGCACAATGGAGCATTTTTACCTGTGGCAGTGTAAGTGTATGGCTCAGATGTGCTTTAAACATTCTGTAAGAACCTGCAGTGTGGACAAAGGAGATGACGAAGGTATGCAGACGTGCTGCTTTGAATGTGGTGATTATTACTTTAAAACTCATTAATTTAAAGGCAAAAAGCTAGTATGTCTTTAGTGTTTGGAGCTGGAAACCTGCTTGAAATCCAAAGCCAGTGACAGAATGAGTGGGCTTTGAATCCTGAAAGTATGGCTTAAAATAAACTATTTTCTTCCATTCACCCCACCAAACAGATCCACAGATGCAGGAACTGAAGCACAGAAGGGTTTAGTGCTTTATCTGAGACCTCATTAGAGGCACTTCTCACAAAGTGGAGAGGTCACAGTGCTGAGCTGGGCTGACTACGGGCATGAAGAGGGAAGCACGTTAGTAAATATCGCTGTCCAAGATTTCCCCAGCAGTAGAGGCCAGATAAATACCTGAATGCCCCATGATGCATACTGAAATATATCATCTTCCTTCAGTTTGTCTGGAGGGAGGCATTTAATCACAGTCCTGGGCTTGCCTCCCTTACCACTGTCTGTATGGTCAGGTACGTGCATGACTCCACATAAAAAGCAGCTGTGGAGTTGTCTGTCCTGGGCCAGCTCTATAAAAATAGTCAGCTTCTGTGTGTGCCTAGGTGTCTTATCCACAGCTCATCTGTATTCTTCTGTATGTGTGTTTCTCTCCACCTTGCAGGAAAACTTCCTTCTGGCTTTTACTGCTCATTTGAAGAAGGGGACTGTGGCTGGATGGAGGGCTCATCAGCGCCCCATGCTTCTCCGTGGCGAATTGGGAGCCTGGAGTACAACCATTTTCCTTCAGTTGAAGGTATGGAAAAGTAAATAGTGCAGAAAGCAGATAGCAAAAGGTGGGGAGGTTTCTTGTGTACTTACAGATTCAGCCTTCAGTGAAACAAAAACATCTTTCTGCTATCTGTGCTTTGAGCAGGACTATCCTGCTTACTTTCCATCTTTAGGAAGAGGCTAGTTAGTACCTCAGGTTTCCTAGGCTGACCACAGAGAGAAGTCCTGCCTCCCTCTAGACAACTGTGCATGAAGCATTCATTTGTGTGCCCCTCCACCACACTGAACTGTTTTTTATTTCTGATTTACTTTTTCTGTGTCTGTTTTGCTTCTTTTTTCCCCTCAAGCTTCCAAATTTTCCTTCTCTTTGCTCTCTTGTCCCTTGAGTTCCACTTATATGTATATAACTACTGCATACTTGCTTCCTCTATCCGAATCCCAGGATTCCTAATCCTTCTCATAGAAACCATTGAAGGTTTATACCCTGGACATTGAACTACTGCTGGTTGAGTTTTGGTATGCAGGCTGCCTGGCACGATAAGACTTTTCCTAATGCAATAATGTAAATCATTGAAAGCATTTATTGTTGAGGCATGGAGCATTTTAATAGCATGCAATAACAGCAGAGTTAATGGTGTATAATCCCAACATTGGTTTACAAAGTTACATCCATTGTTAAACATAAAGAGTGAGATTCTCTGCTTTCTAGTGAACTGATACAGACTACAGTACAGCTATTCTGATTTATGCCACCTGATGGCTCAGCTCACAGTACTGCAAACCACAAATGAATTGAAGCATAGGTAAACAAGAAATCAAAGACCCAGAAAGTGGTTACTATGGAGAGATGGCAAAGAAATGATGATGATTCATGATCTATCTATGCTGTAGAGGCAATTTCATTGTACGCTCAAGTAACTAAGATCCAGGTAGTTGTACCTTCCAGAACTGAAATATTGCAATATATACTTTTTGGTCTAGAGATGTCAAGGAAGAACTCTTAGTAACTCAAGTTATTCAAGTTACTACTTAGTAACTCAAGTTACTACTTGTTCCTCTGGTTACTACTAATGTTTAAGGTAGCAAAAGTACTTCAAGCTGCATTAATACTTCTCTCATTATTTTGTTGCCACTGTTTGATTTTGTTTTGATGAAGATGAAGATTTGTTTCCAAGTTTGTTTTTGTGTATGTGTGTGTGTTGAAAAAGATGCTAAATCACCTTTGCAAGAAAGATAAATTGGAAGTTGTGGAGGAATAGAAGATAACTGTAGGAGGAAAGTAGTCAGGCTGCCCAATGAGAATGTGAAGCTGCTTCCCTATGAAATTGAAAAATATATTTTCCTATCTGACATCCTGCTGTAGTAGGAGCCAGCTTACATAGGCTTCAAGGAAGTTTCCCAAAACCAGAAGGTGGGTTCTGCAGTTTGACCTTCTTCCTGCTCTTTTATCTAGATTTTGCCCTGATCCTTGACACCAGCAAAGTACCAGCAGGAGCAAGCACTGTAATGACCAGCGCTACATTTCCAGCCCCATTGAGGAACTCCCCCTGTGAGGCAAGTCATGTTTTCTTTTCTTTCACACTTTTTACTATGCCTGACTCTGGTTTTCAAATACAGACACTAGATTAGTAGCCCAGCAGCCACTTTCTCCATGGTTTGTCTTTGAAATATTTACTTAATGTTCCAATGTGCAAAGAAAAGAGGTGGTTATCTGCTTGAAAAACCACTAAGTGTATACTGAGAAGCCTGGTGTGTATTGCCTTGATTGTATGATCCCACATGATGTAGCAACAGTTTTTGTAATTGGATTTATGAGCTAAGGTAGGACAGCCAGCATTGCATAAATGCACAGAGAAAGAGGCTGGCTGCTTTATATTTGCAAAATCCAAGAAAATCCACTCAGAAAATTCACTCAGTGCATGCTTCTTCTAGCTCAGCTGAGATTCAAGCTGGCAGGCCTTCATCACGTTGCACCTCAAAACTCCTCACAGAGGCCATGCTCTTAGGAGCGCCCAGCAGTGGAGTCCTCTGCAACTCTTAGGAGTTACCAGCAGTGGAGATAAATTCATACAAAACAAGCCAGATTCATGCTCAAGCAGAAAAGCTGTTAATAGTCATAATATGTTAACTTAAGCAAGTATATCAATATTTGTTAGATAATTGTGTACAAGTAGTTGTCATTTCCAAATCAGTTGTATTTAACCCTTAAACTTCTGGTTAGAGAAAGATATCATCTCTGTCTTTTTATCTGGTCTATAGCTTCACAGATTATATCATCACTGATTGTATTTATGGCTTATGATTTTGAGTCACACGTCTTGATTGCTCATCCTGAGCTTCTGGATCCTGGAGCAGGATTGCTTGGGGAAATTGATTCTTACAACAGATAAAAAAAATCAGGCCTTTCCTCTTGCACTGATCTAAAAATGCAGAAAGGACAGGAAAGGGATACATAAGAAAATCCTCTGAAATTAAAATACTTGAGTGTTTCTTTTGCTTAAAGTTTGGTTCTCTTCTGTTGTGTATCTCAGTATGTACAGCAAAGCACATCTGTGTTTGCTCTCTTGATATATTAATGTCTTCCTTCTTTAGGAAATACATTCTACCTTGTTTTTCCTCCCTTCTGTGACAAAGGCATATGCAGGTTCTGAATATTTTAAGACCTTGTTCTGCCATGGACCAGCAAGAGCAAGTGTTTTTCATCATCTACCTGACACAGGAAGGAGAGTGAATGATTTCCCAATATGTTTATATTTTTACCTTGTGTATACAACAGTGCAAATAATTAAACTTGCCATCAGGGGAGAAGCTGTCGTGTATTTCATCTGCTCACATGCCATCCCACCTCCGTCACTCCCCTTGGCACTTAAAAGGCATCCGGACACATCTAGCATTGCAGCTGTTGGTAATATAGAGTAAAGGAGTTTGGCAAGGGTTTTTGTCTCTTGTCTTTTCATATAGTGTAAAAGCTTCTCTTCTCAATGAGCCCCCGGTGGCTTCAAATTCTATTTTACTGGCACAATCTTTCTGTGAGCAGAATAATTTGATTCCACTTTTCAATACAAGAGGAGAAAAGAGATACTCCCCCACACACTTATTCTTCCAGTAGGTGCCAACAAGCTCCTGTGCAGTGAACTAAAGGTCAGAAAAGAGGCTGTGAAAATACCGCAGTCCTATCCTGTATTTTTTTCACCCTCAATCACTTCCCAACTGAACTGACTCAAGGTCAGGCACTAAAAGATGAGTTTTCTTCTACCTGTCAGTGCTGACAGCTCCACCTGGCATATCACAAACAGGACAGGTTCTATGGCAGCTGAAATCCCACTGACAAAGTTCACTTATGATTCATGTGATAAAGGGATCTGAGCACTTGTGTGTAGATTAGATCCATTTATTCTTCTGCAGTCAGATCAAGCCATAAACCTGCCCGCCCTTTCGTAGTTGTTAGTTCTGACAGCTTGTTTCAATCCATCCAGAGAGATTTTCCTCAGATTCACAGGTGGCAGCAACACATGAAAGTGATGGAGGCTTTCCTCAGGCTGGTCATTTTCTATCCCTCCTCCTTCTTCTATCTGTCTACCCCAGTGTCAGCACAGCCAGCTCAGTTGAACTCCTGCTGGTGGGGTTGAATGCACAACCCCACCTCACAGTTTGTTCACCTCTCTTTTGTGCATAGAGCACACCTGCCTTGGGCACTTATGGCCTTACGTGGAAAGTGTGAGAGCAGCAGTGAGGTCAGCAGATGTCCACAGTTGGCTGATTTTCACTCCCCTCTTCCCTTGCAACACAGGAGCACTAGCCTCTGTGTTTCCTGAAGCTCCTATTTTTTCTCTTATCTCTTAATTTGCCTCTATTGTGTTGAGCTATGTTAGACAATAACATCCACCATAACAAATGTTGACTTTTTAGCTTGAGTTGTACAGAGGAATTAATTGCTTTAGCCTCATCACAAGGAGCATTCTCTGCTGCAGTACCACGCAGGGGGAGCTATCTTATCTGGCCAAAATGTCCATGGAACCAGGACATATTCCAGTGCTGATAAGGAAACAGTCAAGCATACTGTGGTGCTTGCCAGCAATAAAGAATCAGAGACCCAGCACCTATTGAGATTCTGGACAGGTGTTTGCAGCAGTAGTGACATAAAGCACTGAGAGATCCCAGATCCAGGATGATCTTTGGCTTAGGTGTTGCTGTTGAGTACAGGATAGACACATCCCTTCATCTTCGTGTTCCACCATTTTGTGCTTTCCTCTGCTTGAGCTCAGTCACTAGGAATATGCTGGGCTGCTTATGTGCTGTCTCCTATAGCATTTCCCATGCCCTGCACAAGGCTTCTCTAGCTCACAATGGAAAAATCAGACTGATCTACTCTGTTCTGCCTCACATACATCAAAAGATGAGGATAAAAATCCATGCAGGAGACAGAGTCATAAACATAGCCTGCACTTTCCCACACATTTGGGATTGGACCTAATGTGCCCTGCACTTTGTATATAGCTTCGTATTGCACTTTACTCCTGTTTTTTTTGAGCAGCTTTATATTTTCATTTTTCTTTTTTCTGCAGTGCTTTTGGCAGGTCAGAGCTGTTAGTTTGTGATGCTGCCCTTTGTTCTTAGTTCAGTTAGTTTTTCTTTTCTGTTACTTTATTAGATCTTGGCTAGAGTATCCTGACTTCAAAGAATTTCCCTTGTTTGCTGTCCAGAGAGTCTTTGTTATCTTTTTCATGTTGCACATTAAATAGAGCCCTTTGCCTGTTGACACATTAACAGTGTATTTAATGCCCAGTTTAAATGTAAGATGGAAACTGACAATTCTAGTAAATCTTGGGAGGGTGCAGGAAGTGGCACATGTAGTTCACAAGAGGTGCTCTGAGGTGACCAGCAAGGGTGAACACAATGAAAAAAAAGAAACAGAAAATGATTCAGAAACCAGACTGAGACACGGTAGTAAAACGAAAAATATTTTTAACCCACATCTAAAAGTTCATCAGAAAGAAAAACATGTGTAATTGAGCACAGGAATGCACATAAACTCTGAGGAATTAATCCAATGTTGGCCCGATTTGAAGGCAAGTTTTATAAACGTTGAACAATAGAGAAAAGCATTATTCTCCCTTTTGCTTCATCTTGTTGATCCTCTCCTCAGAGTAGGAATTGGGTGGCCTGCACAGGGCTGTAAGAGCACAGGCTCACGGGGTGGTTGGACGTTTCCTCATTTTAAAGAAGCAGCCCATATACCTGTCATCAGTAACTGCACTACAGTCTGGGAATTCAGGAAACCACATTGCAATTGAAGTCCAAAGGAAGTGCTGTCATCTCAGACGCCACCCATGGCAAAACTAAATTACTTTGCCACAGCTGATATCCCTTAGGTGTACACAATTTCCAGATTGTAATGGCCACCTGCTTCTCAGTACTTATGCAAAGATGTCAGAGAGCTGACAAAAGAGTTTTGCAGGTGTCAAGGGAGAACTTGCCCTTTGTGTGGAAGTTATGAACTGCATTCCGGCCTCCCACATCTGGACAACGTGGCAGTCCCATCTCCTTCAGTCCCAGAACTATTGCTAGGCAGATGCAGAGTCACTACACTGACTTTGCTTTTTATTCCATTTTTTAGAGACGTTCTCCAACATCTGCAGCCTTATGCTTCAAAGGATGCTGTGGCGCTTGTTAACCATAAGTCATGTACTGTGTTTTCCCCAAGTGTTTGGGCTTCTGTGGTAAAGAGATATAAGACCAGGCCTAAGACTACTGCATTTTTGAGGGCTTGGTGCAGTGTATACCTGGCTGAGCAGCAGAAGTTATAACTATTCTGAGAGATCTCATTTTGTGGTGGATCGTGATTATTACTGCTGCTTGAAAGTCGCTGCAGACACATGAGCAGCCTGGAAACTGTTTTTAGACAGGCTGCTCTTTGCTCAGCACAAGAGAATCTGATGGACCTCAGTGCCATAACTGAAAATTAAAACCTGGGCAAGAGGTGTTGGTGTGGGCTATAATACGAGAGGAGAATAACAATAGAGATGGTGTTTCCTGATTTGTGATGAACTTAAAATTAGCTTTAAATGTCATCATACTCATAGAAGAGAAGCTCGCTTTTTGCAAGTGGGACTCCCCTGTAATTGGTAACGAAATGATTTCATTTTCATTAGATCCTGCTTCAAACATTTTAAAGGGTATAGCTGGGCTGCAAAACAATGAAAAGAGATCCCTGTAAAAGAGCTTTGTGCCTTTGGCCATGTTTAAAATAATGATTATTTTTTTTCTGATGCAGTTTTGACATTTCGACTAGCTGTTTCATGTAAGCCTCCATTATATTACTGAAAGAGGTACCAAACTGAGCCAGGCTTTTTTTTTTTAAATCTGAAATTAGTTTTTGAATGTAAATCCGGCCCCTCTAGAAGATGAACATAATATGTTGATGTAAAACAGCATAGTTGAAGTTTGCCCTCTCATTTGGGTTATGAAAGATGGTTTCATGCTCCGTGGTTATTAACTCAGTTTTCTTTGCTATGCAAAAGTGTTGTATTTTTAAAGCGTGTAAATCAATAATTGAAATAATTCCTTGAGCACGTTCTGAGCTCATGCTGGCAGCAGCAAGGCATGTCTTTTTTTCTCCTCTGTTCTTTGAGTTTTAAACAACTTAGAAGTGTACATGTTAATAACACTGATTCACAACATTTATGAGCATGAAAAATGCAACATAGATATGCCTCTAGCGCATCCTTTCATGTGCTTTATTTTGCAAAATGTTGTTAGCATCCTTTTTATTTTAAGTGCTGGTTTTAATATGTGTACCGCTCATATGCTGTTTCTGTTCTTACCAAAACTGATTCTTCTCTTGACACCTTGCTGTTGTGTCACTGAATGATGTATGAGATCTGAAATTTCTCAAAGGCCCAAAGTTTATCCAGGAGGGTCTTGGTATTCTTCTTTTGCGCATACAGAAATAAAATGCAAGTTTTGCTTAGTTCTCAGGTAGATTTGGAGCTGTGTATCTGGTACCTTTACTGTTTCTCTTCACCTCTAAACTTGCCAAGCCCTGTTGATATTGATGAAGATTAGTGGTCTTTCAGCTAATCATCAGTTACAGTGGGTTCTAAAGCCAGAAAGCAAGGCAGTATTGAGCCAATGTCTACCTGCAGTGCTTAATTAATTTCTAAATGATGTTTCTGATTCTTTTGCTGCTGGTTTAACACAGAGGAAGATATTTGATATGTAATATTGGGGATATGCCACCAACAGCCCAAATTCAGATTTTTCTAAGCATTGCCCTACGCTATTTACAGGAACTCATAATGTATGTGGCACCACCTGCCATCACTGATGGTGTATTCTGTAGAATGAATGCCAGCCCCATTTGGAAGTCTTTACTATGGCATCCAGCTCATCATCTGCTCTGGTTCACTTCAGCAGGTGTGAAAAGACCTGGACTGCCCTGCTGTGAAGCTTAGAAATGACAGAAAATGTGGCCAAAAATGCCCATTTGGACACAGTGACAGTCAATTCACTTGGAGCCAGTTCATTAGAGCCTGCACATTGCACTTTGCCAGCGAGCTGATCTCCCACATCTAATGCCAGCTACATCTTTCCCTCAAACAGCTGACATGTGTGCAAAGGCATCCATTCCAATTCATCAGTTGCTTCAGCTTGTACTCTAGTGTTACATTAATAGCTATCAAAGGCTTGCTCTTTCCTCGCTTCTGACAATGTAGATTCTGCCTCTTATTGTCTGGCAGGTCTCCAGAAGAGACAGAGGTCTGAAATCTTGTGTATATTAAGATGTTCAAGGCTTTACCTCCTCAATTTTGAATTGTGAAAATGACACAGTGAAGTTAAGTTGTTCCAACTTATCTGTCTTAGAAATTTCACATAGGGTGTTACAGTACAATTGGCATTAATGTCCTGAAACTTTTTCACATGAAGCTTGTCAGTTAGAGGATTTGTTTTTCCTGCAATAGGTTGAATTTGTTGCATGTCCACCATAATCAGCCTGTTCATTGTCTGGTTTTGGAAGTTTCAAAAAAAAAAAAGGTTTAGTCCTGATAAACTTCCTCAAGAGAAAGGACCTGGGGTCCCCTTCTCTGGAGCTATTCAGGACTCATCTGGATGCTTTTCCATGTAGCCTGCTGTAGGGAACCTGTTTTAGCAGGAGGATGGATTAGATCATCCCTATAGGTCCATTCCAGCTCCTACAGACTGTGATTCTGAGACTTCACTGGATCTGAAAGTGGTACTGAAGGGAAAGCAATTTTCACTGTAATTTCATTCTCACTTTATAGACACTCAAGAATATTAAATGCTCACCTTGTTCTTTACTATCTTGATTGTCACCTGACATTGATGCCGTGTGTGCAGTAACAGTTAGGAATAGCCTGCAGATGTCCTGAAGTTTGCTGACATCAACCTCCTATACCACAAAGCTTTATCAGCAGCTTCTTTCACCAGTGGTGGTGAACTTGTGTGTATGAATTCAGTCCTTGCCTAGCTGTGTCACAGAGTGACTCCAAACATTCCATGGCCAAGGAGGAAACAGGACAAAAGGGTAGATTACAAACTTCTCACTAAAGTTTAGTCCTGATCATAATATGACTCCTCTATTAGGGAAATGAGAGAGAGAGCCCACCACTGAAATTTGCTCCTGATGTACACTTAGCAACAAAATGCTGTGCAAACACATCCAATCATGTACACCAGTCCTGACTCCACAAATCATCTTTCCTCATCTCCTTGTGCAGCAGGACAAGTGCAGCCTTAGGTTAGCCTCAGTCCACTCTTTGTGTCCCCATGAGACTTTGCTCTCACAGAGATGAAGTTTTCTCAAAACAGAATTTCTGGGGTTTTGTCACATAATTGGTTTCTCACTCTTAATACACTCAATAAAAGAGCTCAGGCCAGAGTTTGCAGCTTCTGTTTTATGCTAAGAAATGGATATAAATATTTTGTTCCATCAAAGCAAGCAAGAAGGTAATAGTATCAGATATTCCTTTGCAAAATATAAATTTAATTCCTAGCTCCCTGACTTAGTTGTTGGTTTTGAAGTGTTAAAATTGAGGGCCATCTTTTAACATGCATTGGCACTGTGCTGAACACCTTTCTGTGTCCAAAAATCCATTGTTAATGTAGCTTTAATGAACTTATTTCTTCAACATTCTCACCTCCTATGATTATTGAGACTCATGTAATATTTATATATATTTTATTAACAAAGAGCTAGCTTTTCTTCTTTCCAAGAAGATCAGGCAGCTGTATTCATACAAGATTCTGAGACTAGCCTGATAGAGAAGGGTTTCTTTCTTTTCAAAGAACGAGGGAGGGAAAATCATAAAATGTGAAATCTACATGAAATAGTTTTCTATACATAGGAGTAAGTACATAGGAAGGGACTTCATTACATTTAATGTAACAACAAAAAGTAGAAAACAGGTTCCTTAAGGTATTTTAATTAATTTAAAAGAAAGAAAAACAACACCTAATTATTATTACTGAATCTTAATTAGAAAGTCTGTAGAAGCAAGAAGGTAAGGATTTTTAATTTTTGGAAAGAGTAAGCAAGGGATGAGAATATAATTATCATACTTAATGCTCCCCATGATTTTGCTGCTGCCTGCATGTAAAAAAATTTTGCTGTAAAAGTTTAGTCTTAACTTGAATCTCATCAGTGGCACCTAAGGGGAGAGAGGTCTTTCTTCTGCAATAATAGATTATTAGCTTATCCATTTTAAATTACAGACACATATATAATAGCAAAATCAGATGTTTTTGGACTCAACTTTAACAAGAAGAAAGGGCAGTAGTGCCAATAGTATATAGGATGTACTAAGCCTTAGAGGCTTCCATGTGTGTGGTGAAACTGGAGTTTTCTAAAAGGATTACATGGACATAAGGGAGAGAGAATTGACTTTTTGGTGATAAGAAAACACAGAAATGAAGAGTTAGGAATTTGTTAAATTTTGGATAATGTTTGTTATGTTTTATCTCTTATGTTCTCTTTCTTCTAGCTACGAATGTCATGGCTTATCCGTGGTGTCTTGCTGGGAAATATATCCTTGGTGCTGGTTGAGAACAAGACAGGGAACGAGCTGAGCAGGGCATTCTGGCATTCAGCAAACAACGAAGGTTTGGGAATATGGCAGTGGCTGATCTTACCTCTCCCAGATATACTGGACAGGTACGAGTCTCTCCCCATCATTCTCCTTCTCACTGATCAGTCACTTCACCACTTGCTGCTTGGCAGTGAAGATGGCCAACATTACTCCTGGAAGTATTTCCCTTAGGGAGAGGGAAGTGCTTTGCTCCTGAGAGGTGTCTTCTGAGAAGGGTAGTGAAAATAGCTTGTGTAGTTAGCACCCAATTTTAAAACTGAACGGTGGTTTTGGTTCCCCAGTTGGTTCACTGGTTGTGCAGGGTGTAACTTCTGCATCTCCATTTCACTGATTGGAAATAATCATTCTCCTCACGTGTTTATTTGTGTAGTGTGTTTCAGTTATCTTATGATTTGCTAGAGTTGATGTGAGCTGTACAGTTAGTTTTTGTTGTTTTTTTTTTCTGGATAACAAAGTCCTTAACTTCTGATGCCTCTAAATCTGAGGATGAAAGACATGGGAGAAGCACCTACTACCGAATCAGACAAGGATGCTTATGAGCACCTTTGTGTTAGCTGTAGCAGGAGGATCAACATAATAAATGGCTGTGTCAGTTTTGACTGTAGTCTTAAAGGTTCATCTGGTAGCATATGCTTCATCTTGTGGCATATGCTTATTTACAGAGTGTTGTTTTAGCTGCTTCTTACAAGTTAGCTTTAAGGGAATACTCTGTTGCTCCTTGTTTATTTTTGTGTGCAATCTGGCCTATGCTGTTTAGAGAGAAGACACAAACATACTTCACCTCCTGCTGCCCTGCCTTTAGGCGGTATGATGCATCTGCAGGCTGTGTCATGAGCACTGGTGTCCTTTGTCTTTTGGGGAATCTGTGCCCTAGAAATAATGGATTTCATTAAGGATTTGCCTCATAAGAAGTTTGAGCAAACACTGTGTGAATATGTCTTTTATCTTGCTGTCTCTGAGGGCTGCATGTAGGCAGGGAATACAACAAGGACACTACCAATGCTTCGGTCTGGAATGTATAATTAATATGTGTGCATCAAAGATTTTAAAAATATATGCATTAGGCTTGTGCAGTCACTGCTGAAGCTCCATTTGTAAAAATACCTGGTTGCTTCATTCTCTTCAGCTGTGTTTACTTTCAAGACTGACGTATTTTGCCATTATTATTTATGTGATTTGTTTTCTAATGTTGCCATGGGAGTGTTTTGTATCTGAATTATTCTGTACTCTTATACCACTGTTTTCCTTTAAATTCTCTCTTGTTGCACCATCAGACAGAGGATACTTTGATGTTAGGAACCAGGCTAGAAATGCTTCATGTGAAATCACAGTTACAAGTGATATACAGTGCTGACTATTATTTATAGGGTTATGACACCCTTGTTTCCCTATTACTTTCAGAGAAAGACAGTTGGGTTCACTGAGAAAAGAGCTTGTTGGCTGTTAAGACTTAAGAAAGGAGATCTTGGAAGTTTTGTTGTCCCTTGGAAAGTTTTTAATCCTTATTTATTCACAGAAATTGTGGTGTTTTAAAGACTTTTTTAAAGTCTGATTTAGTTGAAGCCAGTTCTTCCTGTGAACTGTGGAAATACTGCAGGCATCTTTCAACGTGACTTCATTCAGACTTCATTGTGAAGTCTGCTTCTTAGGAAATCTGGATTGGTGCATGCATTAGGAACAATAAGGAAGTGACACACCAAAGTGGTGCTCGGGAGATGGCAGTATTGCATTTATCCTATGTCATTTATGTTTGGAGATAAATGACAGACAGTTTTATTGAATTGCAAGAATTACTTAATTGATGAGAACTCTGCGCTGGGACTACAGAAGGTTTACTGTTTATGTCTTCTGTCTAATTGGTGCTAGTGTCAATAGCTATGAGGGTCTGCATTAGACAGAAGGAGGCAGGATATTGTAGATATTCCTGCAGGAGGAGCTGAAACATTAAGTCATCCCACAGCAGTAAAGCTCTTGAATAGAGCATACTAATGTACCACTTCCACTCAAAATTAAAGTGCCATCCATTTTGACTGGGGAGCTGAGTGGAAAGTGTTATTAATAACAAGATAATACGCCCTAAAACTGCTCAAAAGCATGCTTGTTCAAAAACTGCTTAGCCATTATTTCTGCGTTTGGCTTTTCGCCCTTCAAAGAATCATTATCATAGAATCATAGAATGGCTTGGGTTGGAAGGGACCTTTAAGATTAGGAAGATTTCCAAAACTATTAGACCACTTCTGTCTTTAGAAGCAGACATTTCTTAAATGTTTTACACCCCTCAAGTTCCTGGGGGAAAATTATATTTTGGCAGATAAGCGCAGCTAGAACATTTCAGGTGATTTGGCAGGAACAAAAAGCATGGAGGAGCATGACAAAGAAGCTAATTTGGGACTGAGGGACTTTAAATTTCTATCATTAGCCTGGGGAACTCTGGACACATCCTTAATTTCAGGGAGTACAGTGGGGAGAGGATTGAGGATTGTCCTTCCTGCCATTTTGTTCCCCAGGAACACATCCAGTTGAAATTTTACTCTGTAAAATTTTGTTTACTTTGGGAAATTTAAAGATGCTCAAGTCCTGGCTTTTTACATCCTCCCTTTTTCTGGGGAGGTGTTGGCAAAACAGTCTTGAGGATCAGCTCCTGCAGCACATTTGGGTGAACAGAAATGTAATTCCAAATGCTCGGTATCTTCTGAGCACAGGTGAAGAAGAGAAAGGGCCCAGCTTCTACTCTTCCCCGAAGGACAGTTGATCTGCAAATCAGGTCATATGCAGAGAGTAGAGAAAGCTAGGAAATTGGTCGTTTTTATGCAGTGATGTAACACTAAATATTTGGGTTGAGAACAGCACAGAGAACATTATCAAAGAATTTATGTGGACAAATTCTGCTGCTTTTCCAAAGTTAAATGATAAGGCTCCTGAAGGTTGTCCTTTTTCAGCGTCACGGAAATGCAAGTAGGCAACACAGCCTTGAAAGCTCTGTGATAGTTAGGGCTTGATTCTTTTACAGTTGTTATAGTTAGTAAATGTGAGCTTAAATTTTAATAATGGTGTCATCATGGGAATGCGACAGCAAGAACAAACAGAAGCCTGGTGTAATTGCAGATGAGTGATTTGTACAGCTAACAATTAGACGTGTGTTGTTCTCTTAACAATATGGTTAAAGTGTATCTCAGAGAAGAATATCTCTTGTAGATTGAATGCTAGCACGTGTAAAGAAGTGACACTCCAGCACTTACTGCAGGCTAATGCTGATTATCACTAGCCCATCTAGCAACTGTATTGCTAAGTAGAGTTAAGGCTAAGAGAATTAGCTCAAATAGGCTGATATCCAACTGGAAAAGTAGTGCTCTGATTAAGAAACAATTTCTTGATTACTGCTCTCTTAGTGAAGCTGGAGTAGGCATGTGGAAGGAGACACAGTGAATGTTCTGAGGATCTGTCTGCCCTCTGGCTGAAGTTCCCTGGAAGTGGATGCTATGTGAGCCTAGGCAGTTGGACTGGTCCAACTCTGGACTTTTCATACATATCTTCTCCCCTACAGCTGTAATTCACTTAAATGTTTCAGAGTAAATTCTGGTAAAAATAGCAAGTATTAATAGCCTTCTGTCTGCACTCAGTGCAGTCCTCTCCTCAACAAAATGGAAATACAGACTCAGGTCAGTTGGAAAGCTTCAAAAATCATCTAGTTAACTGCCTGGCCATTTCAGTGCTAACGAAAAGTTAAAGCATGTTATTGAGGACATTATCTAAATGTCTCTTGAACGCTGACAGGCATGGGGCATCAACCAGCTCTCTAGGAAACCTGCTTCAGTATTAGATGACCCTCACAGGAAAGAAATTTTTCCTTACATGCAGTCTGAACCTCCTCTGGTACAGCTTTGTGCCATCCCTTTCATTCTATCATTGGTTACCAAAGAGAAGAGATTGGCACCTCCCTCTCCATTTTCGCTGCTCAGGAAGTTGTAGAGATCAGTGAGGTCACCTCTTAGCCTCCTTTTCTTCAAACTACACAAACCAAGTGTTCTAAGCAGGGATAGGCTCTATGTGCTTTTACCTGGGAAGCACATTCAGAAGGTAGAAAATAATATTCTTCTGCTGCCATTCTACTGATGAGAGTTTTAAAATTTTGTTCTTGTTGATAACATTTTCCTAAACGTGGGCTGAGAAGTTTTACTACACTGGAAGAGGAAAATGTGGTTTAAACTGGAAGTCTAGATAAAGATGTAACATTCCTAAGGATTAAATTAAAAAATAATAATTAAGAAATAACAGACTTCAGTTACTCTAGAAGGAAATATTCTGCTGCAGCAAGTCAAAATTGGTGTCCAGATGATCGTACTTTCTTTAAACTGCTATCTTTACCCATTCCAATCTTGCTGGCTCACTGGTTTTGTCTGAACTGCAGTGAAGCTCATCAGCTTCTCATGGTTATATTAAAGCAGGATTCCCTTTTGGTCCTCAGGAATGTGATCTTTTGTTCTGTCTGTCTCTTTCAGTAGCTCTGATCTCAATGGCAGCTGGGGAACATCTGGCTCATTGCTGCAGTATAAAGAAGTCATCTCACAGTCATACCACTCTGTTATATTTTGCCAGCTGTGCCAAAGCACTCTTCTTGTCTGATCATTTCTTCTTGCATTGCTTTCTCATCATACTCCTTTCAGATCTTATTTCTGTTAAAGTTCAGGACGCCAGGTTTCTCATTGAGGAAGAAAAGAAAAGGAAAGTTCTTGGCAATATCTTGTGCTCAGAGACACAGTTGTCTCATGTTATTCCTGAAGTTTCTTCCCATTCTACCACAAAGAACCAAGGATCCTTCATACAAGCTAGACTCCTTATATATTACCACGTCTGTATTTATTGGTTGTACATTCTTCACCCAGAATTCTTTATTCTTTCTTCCTCTATGGATCCAATGAGTAATCCCACATTACTTGGTTAAAAACAGAATGAGTCTTTAATATCTGCATCACTGCCCTGCTGTTCTATAGCATTAACTAAGTTTGCTGCTGTTCTCTTGCTATAGCTATTCTGGCTGTTCTGTTCTGAAAAAGTGGTTTTTGGTGACAGTGAGTACCTGTGACAGATTTTGTATGAGTATATATTGTGTGGTTGCCCTTAATAACACCTTTGAAACTTAACCTTTATTACTGGCTAATTCTGCCTCTGTAACTGAGACTGTAACTGTTAATATGCTTATAGTTCTCCAAATAATCTCATTCCACCTGAATATGTCTTTTATCCCAAATAGTAAGTTCTTTGTGAAGTAACAGTACATCATTTTTAACAGAGGAGTTAATGGGAACCCGTATGTGATAAGGGTCACTGACCCAAAACGTTTCCCTTCACTAAGTACCTCAATCTCAAGCAGGTTCAGCTGTAATTATTTTAGCTAGGTAGAGAGAGAAATCAGTTCCATTGGAGGCAAAACAGTACAGGCACACTGTGATTGCATCACTGCATGGGGGGTTGACTATTAGGAGATTAACCTTCAATCTTGATCAATAATCCCTGTCTTTACCATAAGATGAAAAATTAATTATTGCTATGAGACATTCTAAAATAAGAGCAGATGGGTAGCTACCTGGAAATCTAACTGGCTGTATGAACCAAAGAGAATATCTAGGTGGAATTCAGAGTTGCTGCTGAAGGAAGGGAGCTGCAGAGAATTCATACAAAATTTGCTAAGTTTCTCAATATAAGGAGAATGATTTTTCTCCTCCATGTAGCAGAGGACTTAATACGCCTGAAATCTAACATTTCTGTGTAGTGAAGACCTAAGGATAGGTGTCATAAGCAAAACATTTTGTCTTCATGGAAACTATGTAGATGTATTCTCATAATTTTGGCTCTTTATTTCCCTCGATTTTGGGAAGGGGACATGGAGCACAAGGAGAAGCAGTCTTCTGTTAGTAGCAAGGAAAACATAAGGGAACGAAAAGAAGCAGCTGAAGGATAACCCCAAATGATATTGTTAGTCTCAAATACTGAACACTCTGAAATAGGATCTAAAGTTTATGAAAAGTGAGGAAGACTGCAGTACAGAAGGTTCAGTGCTGTCCTGTTTCTGTGTCAATTTTAACTTATTTGGAATGTACTTGGTGTTACCTTTCAAAGAACAGCTCATCTGGATTCTAATTTCATGGGTTGGGCCAAAGAAACAAACCAAATGAAAGTAATTTGCTATGCCTTTGGTGGCATTTCTTAACTGTGATTCTGAGGTATTTCATCAGTAGTCACCCCTGAGTGGTTTTTGAATTTATGTGAAATTTGAATCCTTCAGAAAGCCGAGTTGATGCTCCCCAATGGGAGATGTGAATTAATTTTTCTTGTCCACCTGGTACAACATTTTCCATCTGCCTCAAACAGATTATTAAAAAAATTTTAAAAAAAGACTACGTGTTCTGTTTACAATTCAGCTGATGCTTAGCTTTGCTTTATGTAACTTCCCGATTGTCAGACATCTAAGGAATTTTTTTTTTCCTAGCTGTGTTGATCCAAATGTGGCAAAGGAAGAAACAGAAATATCCTCCAGTCCTCAAGTAGCAATTTTTCTAGCATCAAACTCATTAAAACCCTTCATAACAGCCATATTTCCACTCTTATGAGGAAATGTAGCTTGCAAGCACAGCTATCTGATCAGGATTTGGATTCCATGTGAGGGTGTTGCAGGAATTTAATAAGCAATAAAACTGTAACAAAACTGTGAACACTGATTTTGCTGCTTATTTATAATAGCCTCCATGAATGGCCTTTCATGGCCATCCACCACACCCACAAAGTGCGTCTGCGCTGCATGGGTGCTCAATCAAGTCCTGGATGCACAGTCAGCATAGCCCACCTGGAGCTTTGTAGAAGTAACAGTGAGTCACGGCCACCTACTGCATTACACTAAGTCACCACTGTGGCTTGTCTGTCTGGTATTTCAGTATCAGCTTTCAGCAAGGCCAGGGGGAGTTGTTTCATTGATTTCAGTAAGCATGGATCAAGCAGAAATAAGAAAAAGGAGGGGGCAAGGGAATGAGATCGTCTGTCGTTTTTTTCCTTCTCACTGATGTGTGACATTTCCATCTTCAGTTTTGATTAAATTTCCCTTAATTAGCCCATTAAGCTAAAACCACCAAAGCTAATGATTGAAGTGTTGGTTAACTGATGATCTTGTTTCAATGGAATTTGAAAGACATCATATTTCTAAATTAATAGTGGCATTAAATTGGAGAAGAGAAAAAGATGAACTATTTGTTGCAGTAATGCTGATCTCAAGGGAAGGCTTGTACTGAATCTGCATTCATGTTAGAAAATTAAAGAAAAACCATAGATTAGTAGGCAACCACAGCAACACTGATGGTCCTGACAGTGTTTGATGTTTGCACAGTTTTCTATTTTGGTGGCTCTTCTATCTTTTTCATCACTGGTGAACTTCAGGAAATCTCTTATGTGTTCTGGACTCAGTGTTTCTGCAGTGCAAATTGGCAAGGCTGTCTCTTAAAAAAGAATTAAAAGCAACCTATTACATTTTTTCTTGGGCATGTTAGATGACATTCCATTTCATGACAGAATTACTCTTTTGTATCATGCCTTCATGCTTTTAGAAACTGGACATTTGGTAATCATTGTAAGAACAACCATTCATTGTCTGGACAGACAAGATTAGGACGTGTTTCACATACAGTTCAGCCATTTCTACTTCTGGAATGCTAACTTAAATGAGAAGGAAAATCAGAGCACACTTTGTCCAACAGCTCAATCAAAACACAAGGGCATATGGTCCCCAAAGTACAAATACCTCTGAGCAGAAAAGCATCACTTGGGTGTTGTTTTGTGAGGTTAATTCACTGGTGAAGGAGAGGCAGATTTTAAAGCTGCTGGAGGCAACAAGTCTAATGTGCAAACATTGATAGCCACCAAAACAATGAGAGAAAATGTTTTAGATGAGTAACTGTAAGGGATATAAGGGATGAGATTCTGTGTAAGAAAATTCTTGCTGGTTATTAGATTCTTGTAGTCGTGCAGGAAACAGGATTTGTATAATTTTTTTAAATAAACAGGAATGCTACAAGAAAAACCTTTTTTGTTCATCTGTTTGTCATCTAAACTGTAACACCTGCAAGAATTCATAATGGCTAAATGGTTATATCCAAAAGATAGAATAGGAGCCATCAACAAGTTGTCTACGTTAAAGAGACCCATATATGGCTTCAAATTCTCCTGGTGTAAAACATTAAGATACAAAAGTGAATGTATTTTAAAGAACATCTCTTTTTCTCTTGCAAGCTTGCATCATGAAGCTTGCTGTCTTCGTGTTTTTCTAAGTACTGATACAATTTCTTGGCTTTGTATCTGACTTCTGTGTCATTGTCAGTTGCTTTTCTAAATTGATTTCTGGTCTCAAGCACAGTGTTATGACTTAATGTTGCAAACGTATATCTGGAGAACGTAGTTTCGTAGAATGCCTTGAGTTGGAATGGACCTTAAAGTCTATCCAGTTCCAACCCTCTGCAACGGCAGCAACGGCAGGTTTGCTAACCACAAAGTCAAACTACATCCAACCTGGCCTTGTATGCTTCCAACTAACATGAACTTCTTAAGCTAAAAGAAAATACAAATAAATAAAAATGCCATGGTCTGTATACTATCAGGTTTGCAATATTTGGTTGCAGAATTTTTTTCTTTTTTTTTTTTTGTCTGCCAGTTGACTTGTAATACCCATGAGGATGAGTTTACAGCAGTCTTTTTTTTTGGTAACATAGAAATGGCAAAAGCCTATTTACTGCAAAATCCAGATGAGAATGAGGGTGATTTAAGGTGCAGCTTCTACTGGGGAAGAGGATGATGAGATTTGCTGTTCCTATGGACTAGACAGTGTCAGCTCCTGGGATTGTTTGATAACTTTTGTTTTCCTGAAGGTGGATCAAAACCAAATACATAAATTGATTTCAGCCTTTGACTGCTAGATTCTTTTAAAAACTCTTAAATGACTTCAGGAGTCCTAGCTTACTTACTTTTCTTAACACTTCAGGGTATGAATCGCTTATGAGAATAAAATCAGAATAAAATCAGTTTAATGGTTTGGAATTTCAACTTAAATCCTGAATCCACCAACCAACAAGTACTGGCACCTCATGTGCTTCTCAAAGGACATATATATATTCACGTGCAGCTCCCCTCCTCAGATCATCTTTGTTTGTTTGGGAGTTAGGACTCTTTCTCTATCAATTTAATATTTTTGTATGTGAAAAGAAAGCCTTTTTCTTCCATTCTAAAACTGCTTTAATTTTGAATAGCTCTGTTTCATCCCCCTACCAGAGAGATTTTTAATCCCTGTTCTTCCAATCTCTGCAGGTTTTGGTTTCAGATTATTGCTTCATGGGAAAGAGGATCCAATGCCGTTATTGCTTTTGACAATGTCTCCCTTAGTCTGGACTGTTTTTTAACAAGTAAGTTTTCCTTCTGTCTGCAAATGGTGGTTTGTCTTTTATTTGCCTTGCAGCTGAAATTTGGAGAGGGATGGAAATTGTGGGGAAGGGATTGTGTGTTGCTGCCTCAACAGACTCTTGGAAAGAAGTATGTGTCTGAAATATTTGTGCTTAGATAAAGGAGACCATTCAGGCACATATCTTATTAGTGGAACTGACTGGTGAATTGGTTCCAGGTTTGGCAGTAAATGGATGGCAAGACATATGGTGTCAGAGAGCCAGCTGCAGCTAGAATAGTAGCATCACCTATCCAGGCAAACTGATGCAGAAACCGGTCTGTAATTATAGAGTTTGACATGACCTGGTTTGTTGTGTGACAGCTTTCAAAATGAATGACAGTTGGACTCTGTCTCAGAAAAGACAGGCAGTCTGTGATTGACACTGACTTTGCAATAACATTCAGCTCAATTAATTAGTTAAATTAGAACAATTTTTTTTGTTGTGTTTTGTTGTCGTTGTTTGGTTTTCTTTGATTTGTACTGATTGCATTTAAGTCTGAATCAGAAACTAAGATCCCCACTCTCATACCCTTGGGAAAAGTTTGGATTTGGATTGAGACTTTGTGATTGATCAGCCTCTAAAATAGGTTCAGCCTATACCTCTGCTGCCAGATTCACCCCATTTAGATTTTTATTGAGCAGTTGTGTCTAGCTTATGCATACTGAGATGCTTAAATTATAAATGTGTTTAATTATCTGACGCTCCATTCTTTGAAACAAAAACTGGCATGAGGATTGCTGCTCATAACACATGAAACTTCTGACTTGAGTTGAACAGTACAACTTGACTACTTGTTCATCTCCTGGGCTTGAAGCTACAACTGTCATTTTCAGTGGGTTGAAAATCTCTAAGCCACTTCCTCATCCAACAGCAGCCAAAGTTTCATTTGCTTTGTGTTAGTTTGCACTATCTGGGTCTGTGTGTATTTCCTTTTATGCAATTGTGCATAGAAACAATGCACCTCAGGTTCTGACATTGTAAAGAGATCTTAAAGTTAGGCTGTAATTGAGAAAGATTGTACGCATTTTAACTGGTTAAAAGAAAAACTTTCTAACAGCTGCTAAAGATTGTTTTGTACTTCTGCATTGTGTCTTCATTCACTTGTTTTGTCCACCACCCATTCCTATTTATTTTTAATTTGTCACAGTTTCCATAACAGCAATTGAAAGTCAGTCTGCTCATTCCTTTTAACGCTGGTGTATCCTGTGACTACAGGCTCTTATTCTCAACGGAAAAGGCTCCAGCCCTTAATTTAACTTGAGCTCTGGATTACACGCTGACTCAGCACAGTGGTGAATCAGTCTGTGACTTCTTGTTTTCTAGTCAATGGAGAGAAGATACCTCGAAGTACTACTCCAGACTCAAGCAATTTGCTCACCAGTAGAAGAGGCCCGAATAATTTTGGGTGGGAACAAAAACTTCTGGGAAATCTCCAACTCGGCACCGCCCCCATTTCTGGTCCAGCAGGTAATGGTCTGAACAGAGAATTATTTTCAGACAGCAGATTTCCAACAAGTGCAGGTTTTAGTTAAATGGAGCTAAAGGCAATATGACTTCCCCTTCCCCTCCTTTCCTCCCCCCTCCCTTCCCCTCCTTAAGGCTTTCTTCAGAACTTTTCCTAAGTTTGTTCTAAACAAACAAAAAACCTAACTCTATACAAAGCAATTACCTTTAGCTGTTAAAACTGTAACTGTAATTTTGATTGCAAATTTGTGAGGAAAAAAAAAAAAAAAGAATTGCAAGATTTATTTGATCTCATGATTTTAAAATAGGAAGGAATCAAAGCAAATTAACTGAGTCCAGAATGTGGTAACTTGAACACTCATCTCTAATTAATTGATTTGAAGCATCGTAACTTCGAAATATTGTAGCTTGATTTGAAATATCGTAACTACTCCTCTTTTTCTGTAATGTCTTCATTCCCCATTTGAAAAAGTATAGCAAGGGACTTGATCTTAGAAACATCATTTTCAGCTAGTCAGAAATGACAGTCCTGTATACCTGGTTCTCTCCTGTTCCATGGTTCCCCTTTCCAGCTTAGCTGTAATGGCATGGTACAAATTGTTACAGGATTTCCCTTCTTTTCTCATCACATCACTATGTCCCAAGGATTTGCCTCTTCCCTCTCTCATGCTTGCCCACACATTTTAAATATCTGTGCTGTATGCATGCATTTATATTTCAGTCTATTCCTTTTACCTCTTCCTTGCCAGTTTTTCTTACTGATTCAATTCAGGTGGTCACAACCAACCTGGAGGTGCACCACAGACCTACCTGGAGAAGGGGGGGCTAACCATGGAAATACAGGAAAGAAGCATTGGCTACAAGTGCCACCTTTAGCACTGAGTGCAGCTGTTCCTCCTCACACGGTGCTAAAGTTGACAATTACCTGACAATCTGAAATACGACTCTGCTTAATTTAGAGGAGTACGGTTGGAACATGCCTACTTTATGTACAGGAGTTTGTTCGTGCTGTCTCCTTCTCTCCCATTCCTTTATTTTAAAAAGACTACTTTAAAATCTGTTCTCTTCTATGTTATGTTTCACTTTGCTACCTGCAGTGTACTGTTGAAATACATGCGCTAGTGTTAAGTCAGTTCTGATACCAACAGCAGTCTAGCCAGTGTGATCAAAAGCTCCATACAGTCTTGCAAGCCTGATTGAAAAGCTGGACATATTAGCTCCAGCAGAGCAGCTGCTGGTACATGAACCAGCAAGTTCTGGTAAAGTGACCTCCAACAGTGGAAAATCTCTGCAGTGTCTGCCAAGGGTTGCACCAAGTGGAGTTTATTGATATTTTCTGTACTGTGTCATATAGCAAGAAAAATGCAGGAGCAAAGGATTAGGTAGGGAGAATGAGCCTTTATGAGAGGATACTGGGCTGAGTTGGACCTGTATATTATGGTTCTTTCATGTTTTCCTTAATGATCTGGACTTACATGCTTGCCTGCATAAGTTTGCAAATAGTAAGCTAGGAGCTGTTCAGAATAGAGGGGCTTTGCAGAGGAAGCTTGCTGGTCAGTCACCAAACACAGGAAGTTTAACAAGAACAAATGACAGGTTCTGCACCTCTGGGACAAGGTGGTCTCTATAGTACCGAATCACCCATCACCGTGTTCTCTGCTCCCTGCTCTCAGTAAACAGTGCAGATGCTTGTTTAGTCCCTGGGCTATGCATTTTACCCTGGTTTAATCTTATTACTTTCTGCATCCTGTAATGCATTTAAGAAACCTCAGGCAGAGTCAGCCAAGGCCATTGCTTTCATGGCCTCATATTTACTATTGTGTGAGTGAAACAACAGCATCATCACCACCCTGAAGTCCTGAAGACTGCATTGACCAATATAAGCTCAGCCAGAAGTAATTACAGCTAATGTGATCCTTGGCTCATATGATGCTTCACTGGCTGTAATACTTCCTTCTTAAGAAATCATATTGAAACTAAGAAAAAAACTCTGTTTCTGTAGCTAAGGAGACAACAGAATAATAAAATGCCTTCCTCAAGTCTATGAGCCAGCTCAGCCTACGCAGCTAGGAGTACAGTCTGAAAGACAGGCACCGCTTCGGTTACCTGACCAAATATGCAAAAAAAAGTCCATTGCTTTTAAGGGTAAGGGGCTGGATTTGCTCCTCTGTAATTGAGAACAACCTCTTACAGACATTGACTGTGCTAGAATATCCAATTTCGGCAGAAGAAATAAATTGTCGTCACTGCCAATGTCACTGCCCCCCCTTTATTCTCAGGCCCTGTACTGAGTGAATTACTTCAGCCCTGCCATTGCTTGACATGGCTTGGCATGTCTCTGTGATCCATACACAGGAAGCCAGCAAAAGGCTTGAAGTATATAACACAGCCACACCATAAAGTATCTTGAAGCTTCTAGAGATCTATTAACCACTGGCATTTACAAAGGACTGGCCAATGTGCTGTGTGGAGAATAAGACCCCAAACTGCTACAGTAGTGATGTACTTCTCTCAAGTTTCTGGATGATGACCAGGGCTGACACACAAAAAATCCATGTAGATCTGAATTTGCCCAGTCACTTGCAATGCAAGACAGACAGCCACAAGGCTATGCACAGGTTTTCCTGTTCAGTTATTTAATTAATGTGTCATTTACTAGAATACCAGCTTCTTGCAGGAAGATTGCAAGTGAAACTCTGTTCTGGAAGAAGCCTGCCAAAAAGTTGTAAGAAAGGCTGTTTATACCAGAGTATTGAAGCAACCACATTTGTAACTAGAACTTTTGACTGAAATTTCAGATGAAATCTGCACAGAGGTTGTGCAGATGTAAAGCATGCTTACTTCAGCTTAGTTTTTAAATTTCTTTGCTATTAGTTTAAGTAAAACTGACAACTGCTCAAACCACAGCAGCTCTCTACAGGGAGTTGAACAACCAATTAAAAAGCCAATTTAAATCAAACCAATGCAATTTCCCTTTATAGACAAGACGAGAATATGGAAAATTCAGGCACAGAGAGATACAGAGAGCACTAATGAGGAATTCTAGGTAAACAAATGACTATCATGGATATGCAAGGGGAGAAAATAGGATTCTCAGTAGGCAGAAGGAGATAACAAGAAATGGAGCGCTCAAGCTTTAATTAAAGATTTCTGATGCTTCTGAGTAGGCCCTAAATGCCATGAGGATAGCCTCTCTTCTGATGTTTCAGTGTTTCATCAGCCTGCTGACAACTTACTTGTGTCAGGGTACATGGTACCAAAGTGGTGGGTTGTAAAATGAATGAAAAAATGTTAAGCTTTTTCCCCTCAAATCTTGTACTGTTTTGTGCCATCCGGTCTGCTGTTGTGAGACCATGGTTTCCTGCATGGAAGCTGTCACCACGTAGTCTTCTGGACTGGATTACCATTTTCTTCAGCTCCAGTTTCTTCCCCACACTCTTGGTGGTTGCAAAGACTTTGGGTTTTTTGCATCAGAGAGTGTCCTGTTGCAAGTACTTACATGGTTGTTTCTCGGAAGAGCTCTGAGTCACATTAGTTAATCAGATGAAGGAGCTGAAAGGAACAGCAAAGCGAGTATTAAGTAGAAGAAAATTACATTTGGTTGCTTTTTGTGCGCAATTATACTAACTGAACTGTTGGTGTAATGCAATAAAGGTATCTGCAGAATTGTATTTTTGTATTAAGCATCAATTAACACAGTGAACAAATGGCTTAGTACTCTCCTCCTCAGCAAAAGAAGCATTCTGAAAGTGATAGAAAACATTCAGAGATGGATGGGTAGTGGGATCTCAGATGATGCAGGCATGAATTTCTTTATTGCAGTGTTTGCACTTGCTCTCTCTAGAGGATTAAAAATGGCAAAGGTACAGTACTGAGAAGCAACACAGCAAAGTTAAATTGGAATTCCTGCTCTCTAGAGTTAAACAAACCATTGGAATAAACAGATTTTAGGCTTAAAATTTAAATCTGCCTTTACTCTTTAAAAACAACAGTTTAAACTGTGCAGAAACTGCTATAAATCTGAGGAAAGGTTTTGAAATAATTTTGCTGCCTCCTCCTGACCTGGTCTCTGTTATCCAACTTGTGTTTCTATTACTCTTTGCAATTCTAAATGAGAAAAAAATTCCAAAAAGTTATTAGTATCTCCCACTAAGCAGCCTTCATGGAAATTAGTTTTCTTCATGCTGCTCTGTTAGTTACTGCTTCCTGAATGTAGCAAGAAACAAACCGTTCTCATCATTGTTCGAAGCCAGCTCCTTGCCCTGTTATACTGACCACAGAAAATTTCCTCAAAGGATGCCCTGATGGTGTTTCCTTTATCTAGATGGACATATAAGAAAATTCTAAAACAAGAAAGAAGTTATGTGTATTTACATGAAATGGCACTGAGGTGTGATCTGATATACATTCGTAATTGCAGCAGCTCTTGTTGAGCTGAAAAATATGTCCAAGTCTTCCATTGCCTTCATCAATGGCAGCCAAATGTCACTGGTCTCCTGTTACAATCACAGAACGGCCTGGGTTGAAAAGGACCACAATGATCACGTCGTTTCAACCCCCTGCTGTGTGCAGGGTCTCCAACCACCAGACCAGACTGCACAGAGCCACATCCAGCCTGGCCTTGAGTCAGCTTCTGACTTCCTTTATGGGTCAGATGTTTCAAAGGAGTTCGTGAATGCTTTTACAAACAGATGAAGGAAGTGTTCTGCTTGTCCATGGCATTGTGTTCATTCACAGCTGCCTTAGTGAAATGAAGTCCCTGAGGGACAATTAACAGAATTAATTGCTTCCATAATTTTAGCCACTGGGGTTTTTGTGCTCCCAAAATGGTAGGCTTTATAACCCTTACTAACTCTTTTTTTTATTTTTATTAATTTAGTGGAAGTGAGATAGCCTCTTGCCTGAATAGAGGTCATGGCAATGTGTCCCTAATAGTGCCCACACATAGTTATATTGCACTGATGCATTTTGCCACTGCTTTACTTTAGATTCCAAAAGATGCC